CCGCGACGACTAATGATCTGTGTAGAACAGAGGAGCGCGCGGGAAATTTGAAATAGGTTGAAACAGTTTACGAGTTATTTTATTAGTAGATATTATTGATTGAGCAGTTTGATAGGGCAAGGCCGGCTTCTCGGCTTCTATGGAGCTACCGGATCTACAACGTGGCCGCTGCTACAATGGTAACTTTAATTTAACACACGGCTAGGGCTAGTGCCCATTTAACATTTTGATAGGTAAAATAACACGTAAATTGAAAAAAATATTCTTTCAAACAAATTAATAATAAAAAAGTAACTAAAATTGATATCAGCCTCGCAAAAATTTATTCATGAAATTATTTACCTAGCTGGTTTACGTTAACTCGGAGCGGTAACGCGTCTCTTCGCGCGCTGACAACCGCGCAAAGCGTCTTTTACCTACTCGTGATCGGTCCGATTTTTTGACGGATTATTATCAAAAAGCCGAGCGGCGCCGGAGATTACCTACAGTGGAGGTGTTTAGTCAAACACTTATCATATCACCCTGTCTGGTTACTATTAGTTTAACCGTCATCACTAATCACTGATTTTGTCTTTATTTTAAATTTTCTTATTTTCAATGACACCACCGTGTTGGCGGATGCAAAGCGTTAAACGGCGTTTCATATTTTCCCGCATATTTGAAAATATATTGTTACTTATAGCCATTTCCCTCAATTTCTCAAGCGCATTTATTATTCGATGGCGTAATTGTTCCACCGAATCCACGTTCTCTGCATACACATCATTTTTGATGCACCCCCCGAAAAAAATCGAATAGCGTTAGGTCTGGCGATCTTGCTGGCCACCTACGACGTCCAAATCTACCAATCCATTGTGCACCAAACGTGTCATTTAGCCACTGGCTGGCGGCTCTTGTTACAGAGTGTGCTGGCGCGCCATCTAATTTGTACCACATTCGTTGGTATCGATGGACGTTTAGGTTGTTTATGTATTCTGACACCGTATAACTTAGTAGATTAACAAAACTTACTCCATTCAAAGCACCATCAATGATTACGGGTCCGATGATGTTGCCACTGTGAATAGCTGCCCAAACTTCTACCAAAAATCTGTACAGATGGGCTGACTCCCGTCAAACGTGCGGATTTTGATTTTTGGGTGCCCAATGGTGCAGATTGTGCTAGTTCCACATGCCGTTTCAGGTGAACGTGCTTTCGTCAGTGCAACAAATTTGGGAAAGAAAGACACTGTCCTCTTCAATTTTACTCAGTAACCACTGACAATAATTCACTCTCATTAATTTATCAGTGTATGTACTTTTCTAAACTTGAATGGGTGTCACTTTTCGCACTTTAATATCCTATGGACGGTTCTGTGATGGACTTAAAAATGCCTAGGGCTCTGGCGGATGCTAGTTTTGGGTTCGTCTTTGAAATAATGTATCACATTCATCATCAGTTAACTGGATTGGGTTTTGTCGTGCAGGCGGTCGATCAGGGCGCTGTGACCTAGAATCCACTCGCCGGTTTTCGCGGATGCGCTGAAAAGCTCCTACAACAGTGCGAGGATGAGTAGGGCATTGTCTTGAATGCCCATATCTCTCGCGATATGTCTTTATCGCAAGGTCGGCATTTTGACGATATTCTCCGTAAGTTAGGATCATGTCCGTATATTCAGCGGCTGTGTAGTTTGGATGTGTACTTGCCATTACGATCATAAGTTTACACAAGCACTAATAACACAAATAAAAGTGTTCGTATCGCAAGAGATGTAAACGTACCTACCAGATTAGGAAACGAAAACAAAACAAAGCGTCTTAACGCAGTACCATAATCTAATTACCATCCTAATTACACAAAAAATAATAAATAAAACCATAGGTAAGCGTCTTTTCCGCTAAAAGTTCACAAATATATTAATCGACGTAACTATGCGCACTACTGTGAAGAAGTGTGTCAAGCACACGGGTTCGGCTAGCAATAGAAAAGATAAAAAAGAATTCGGTTTCGGTGCTGCGGGGTGGGCGTGTGTCGCCTGTGCCGCCCGCTCGCCGACAAAGGAACGTCTCTTCCTTCAATAGTTAATTTCAATGATGCCATGTTATGATCCGTGATCCCGGCAAATGACCGCTGCGCGACAGTTCTCTAAGTACAGGTTGCTCTGAGATGCTATTTTCTAAAATTTTATAAAATCAGTAAATAATAACGTTTAATGGAAATATAATTTCTTCATGAAACGAAAATGTGATATGTGTGTTCAATTGAAGTCACCATTGTAGTGCCACGTTGTAGACAGGTGGGTCCTGCGCGCGCCTAAATTCCATCGCGCCTTCTCAGAGGGTGTGTGTTGACCCGAGAACGGGCCGCTGAGGGCAGCTGGCGCTGGTTGGGCCACAGGTCTAATCGAAAGCGTCCTTTTTGGCGTTCTAGTTGGTGCGATTCTGACATAACGTCTTTCCCCCCGCTGGACATTTATCCTTGAAAAAGGTTTACAAGTTGGGTTAGACAATCATCATCATCATTACAGCCTTTCACAAGTCCACTGCTGAACATAGGCCTCCCCCAAGGAATGACACAAAGCACGGTCCTGAGCCACCTGCATCCATCGACTTCCTGCATGTCTTACCAGGTTGTCACTCCATCTCGAGGGGGGTCGCCCTACACTTCGCGTCTTCCAATGCAGCGGTGAAGAGTTTCGGGGATATAACGTCACCCTTTCTACACCTCTCTGCAGTTGGATAGATTTCGTACTCTGATTCTGTACTCGGATAGCCATCGTAGCTCTACAGTGTAAAAACCTCAGCACTTCGATATACCGACAGTCAACTTGGCACCGCTGAAGGGTCTGCTGCACCGCCCAAATTTCGATGGAATCAAAGGCTTTCTCATAGTCCACATACGCAAGGCAAAGTGGCAGATTGTACTCGTCTGTCTTCTGTACAATTTGTCAAAGGGTCTTTATGTGGTCTATGGTACTAAAGCCTTTTCGGAAACCGGGTTGTTCGGGAGGCTGGAAATCGTCAAGTCTGCGTGCGAGACGATTCGTAATGACTCCCGAAAACAGCACATATACGCGGCTCAGAAGGGAAATCGGTCTGTAGTTCTTCAAGAGAGCGTTGTCACCTTTCTTGAAGAACAAGACCACCGCACTTCTGCTCCACGCCTCCAGAGTAGTGCCACCATGGAGGACGGAATTAGAGAGCTTCTGAAGGACTTCAAGTACCGGTTTTCCACCCGCTTTCAAAAGCTCCGCTGTAATTCCATCCTCGCCCGGAGACTTTCCGTTTTTAAGGTGCTGGAGAGCTATTCTAATCTCGCTCAGACTGACGTCCGGGATATCTTCGGAATAGTGTCGGATTAGACTCGCTCTTGGATCGTTACTTACCCCTTTACAACCGGTCAAAAAAATCAGAAAAGCTAGGTTTTCCTGAAAATCGCCTGCACGATCGTGCACTTTAGGATTAGTTTTACATATGCACATTTGTGCATATTTGTGGATTTGTGTGTTTATTGAGGTAATTAGACAACCTTGAATGAAGTATTTGTGTGTGCGATTGAATTGATGATGTGAAAAATGGTGTATACAATAATCAGTCTTAATTATTATTATTAATGAGTATCAAAATAAGGAATATTTAGTTATTAAACATTAACTTAAACTTTTTTATGTAATTAAATCACATTATAGTAATTGAACGTTAAAGTAATCATGAAAATTTAACAAAAATAGTAACAATTATTATCTAAAAACATTTTTGGAACATTATTAAAATAATTTAAAAAAAAAAAGAATTATTTACAGTGAAATTTTTTAAAGCAATTCTGTCCCCGAATTACACAAAGATAAGCGTTACATACAAGAATTTTTGTGCGGATATTACACGTTTCTAATTGGCAAAATCTAGGCGATTTTAGATCATCGAATACCGGCAAATGATCATACCCATCGTACCGTAGTGTTGCCGATGGCATTAGAGCTTTTTTAAATTTCCTCGGCATTATGTTTTCAACTTCCTCCATGCCTTCAGTGCGACGTTTTTCAGGGGAACTCAATAAGACCTCAGATATCTCAAGGCGAAAGTCTAATAAATCTAGTGTTTTATTCCGTCTGTAATTATTGCAAATGCAATCTATTTTGTAAGCGCGCCAAGCGTTGACTAGAGCTAAATCATAAAATTGAATGAGTATTTTTAGTGTCCATTTCCGAGTTTTTATGAATGTTCGGTAGTATTCAACCTGTTGGTCGAGAACATCCACTCCTCCCATGTATCGGTTATAATTTTGAATTACTTTTGGTACAGTCACATCAACATAGATGCGAGTTCGCTTATCCCATCTTTTAACAATTTCAGTACAGTTAGATCCAGTGCAGTTAGAAGCTATCAAAACAGATTTATTGTCTTTCCACTTTACCAATACTGTCCCTTACCATCTGCTGGCTCTCACCACGATATATTTGACCATCCTTCTTGAGTTTTAAACTAGTCTTGTCTGGTATTCTATTCGCCATGATAGTTCCTGTGCTGTATAGGTTCCGATTTTGTAATTATTCTATTAATGGAATGGTGGTGAAATGTCTGTCGTGATATAAACAACTTCCTTCGGGAACGCTTCTTGATAAGTGCAAAACTACAGAGGGTCCAAGACCAAGATTAATGTCCCCGAACATTGTCCTAGTTCCTTGATAAATATCAAAGTCTAACATAAGCCCATCATTTGTTGTGAGGACGTAGTTTTTGAGACCAACTAGTCGTGGTTTATTTTTAACAACTTGTCTCAATGGGCATCGACCAGTGAATGGGATAATCTGCTCATCGATAGAGTAGTACCCTGGAACCCTTTCTTGCTTGTAACAACCATTGCGAACTTGAGTTATCATAGGTTGGACTTTCCACAACGGATTTGTCGCCTGTTGAGGTGGTGCAGTATCAGTGCCTACTACATGCAATGCATTTCGTAATTGTAAGAATCGATCACGGCTCAATTTGCTAGTTATTTTTTTTAGGGAAATGCCACTACGTTAGTACATAGGTAGCCTTGGGAATGGAATACATCTCATTAAAATATGAATACCAAAAAGTTTCTGTATCTCAGACTTCGTAGTTTTTAATTCACTCCCAGTCTTTCTCAAATAATATAAATTTGTGCAAGTACTGACCATTTCATAAAACTGGTCATCAAAGTAATCTTGCACGTAATCAATTGGTTGCCTTACCGATTTCATAGGTCGTTCAAGGTAAGTATGCTGCTTATCTTCAAACGAAGTAACTCTCCAGCGACTAGGGCGGGAACCAGAGCGACACGGACGTTTAGCAGTTGGTACTACGGAAGAAGGTGCTGGTACGGACTGGTCTGGTACTAGAATGCCTTCCACCTGGTCATATCTTTGATTTTCAGCAGGATCTTCGGGTAAACCGAGGTCACCTATATTGTTTAAGACAGCAGGATCAAAAAACGGTTCCTCGTCGTCGGAGTCGTCAAAACACTCAATGTCCGAATCATTGCCGTCGCCCAACACTTGTAAAATGTCTTCGTCCTGCATGCGGCCTAAAACATTCAAAAATAACCACTTAAATTACATCGTACAACCAAATAAAATAACACTGTAATTAAATTAAAAAAGTATAAGTAACACCTAAAATGCACGAACGTGCATCTTTAAATTTGATGCAGAATAAATGAATTAATAATGAACATAATTAAAAAAATACGTTAAAATATTATGAGTTGGTTTATTACTAATAGAATTAAATAGTTTAATAATAATATTCCATTAAAACACTAGAAAATAATTATACTTACTTGAAGCGCCTCGCCCGCCAAAATACGCTGCCATTTCCAACGAGGTACTGTGGCGCAGTAACGAGTTACAACTTGTATTATTATGTTTTTTACTAAGGACTATATCATGCACGATCGAGCGATGTCGGTTGCGTTCGGTAAAATAAGTTATGGGAAGCGCTAGATTTTTTCAAGTTAAATGCACGCTTGACTATGAGTCGGTTGTAAAGGGTTACACTTGCGTGTGGCTCCAAAGATGATGTGTACAGCTGCCCATAGAACCTTTTAATCTCACTCAAAATCTCAGGTGTCCCGGAAACGATGTTGCCACACTTGGTCTTCAGCTTTGACAGTTAGCTCTTTCTGTCAGACAGATCTCTGGCAAAGACTTTGGAGCCTTGGTTCCGCTCGATCGCTTCTTCAATACAAGCTGTATTGAAGTTGCGTAAGTCCCGCCGCATTCATTTGGAGATCTGTCTGTTCAGTTGCCTGTATACTGTCAAATCTGTTGAAGAATGTCCAGTCTAACAGCCATGAGATTAAGAGTGTGATCGGAGAGTTTTTGTGTTCTTCTGCGGCGGGTCTTGCAGAACTTAGCTCTGACCGCATGGACAGTTTCCACGAGCTTGTCATTCATATCGTCCACTTCATTGCAGTCTTCTAGGCACTGAAAACGGTTTTGTAACTCGAGTTGAAAAGTTTCGGGACTTTGGAACAGAGCACGAGGGGGACGGAGCGTTGACTTCATTAGACGAGACCTCTCCAACTTAACGTTTAGGTTCTGTGTGCCTCTAACCATTCGGTGATCGCTACCAGTTTTCACCCTCGCGATCACGGAGACATCACTGAACAGTTGTCGTCTGGTCGTCATAATGAAGTCAATCTCATTTTTTGTCGACCCGTCGGGACTTGACCAGGTCCACTTCCTGTTGGGCCGCTTCTGGAAGAAAGAGTTTATCATAAACAGTCCCCCTTTCTCCATGAAGTCCGCCAGCTGCTGGTCCCTTGGGTTCCAGTGCCTTATTCCAAATACCCCTACCTTCAGCTCACCGTTCTCTCTTGTGCCAGTTTTGCATTGAAGTCTCTCATTAACACCGTATAGTAGGTTTTGGAGGAATACATAGTTTTAGAGATATCCTCATACATTTCTTCCATCTCCTCATCGGGGTATGCCGAGGTTGGTGCGTAAACCTGTATGACCTTCAGCGAATACCGAGTATAAGGTACGCAACCCTCGTCGACACACTCTCAATCTTTACAACGTTGTTAACGAAAGACTTGTGGATGATAAATCCGACACCTCCTTGGGACAGATGGTCACCCTCCCGGTGATAGAGCCAATTGCCGGATTCGGGGATTACCTTGTCTTCCCCCTCTCTTCGGACCTCGGATAATCCTATAATATGCCAACGTAACTTGTCTATCTCTTCTTCCAGCTCCACGATCTTCTCGTCAGTCCTCAGGGTGCGTGCGTTGTATGTTGCGAGGTAGTGTCGTCTAAGGTGGCAACCGAAACTCCACCGGAGATTCTTAGCATCCTCTGCCCCGCCGTATCCATAGTCGCCACCGTAGCCAGGAATAGCGGGGCCGCCGGGGACTGGGGGCCGTCTCTTTCTTGCTCTCATCATTGGGGGGTATTTGCCATAGTTGCCACGCTTGGCATGCGGTTTGGCAACCGCAGTTTTTTTATTGTAATTTTGCTGTTGTCAGGAAGATGCTGCTGCCCATCTCCTGCCTGTTTCCCTTTGTCGCCTTTTACGTCACCCACGGGACGATATGGGGTAGTGGATATTCTTAACCGCCACTACACGGCACGGCAATTAGACAATATTTAAAGGTATATATTAATATTCTCTATTCAACTAGCAAATATAGGTAAGTATTCAAAAATATTTTTTTTATCAAAACGTTACCTCCACACAAAGATTTTCCCCTGTATCAGTTTACATACATAAATTTCACAACGGCAGACATCCAGACCCGCAACAATTATTTGAAAGCCATAAAAATATTAAACATAATGTAAATAATTTCATTTTATACTAGCTTCATTGGTCTAGTGGTTGTAAACGCGACTGCTGACTATGAGGTCCTGGATTCGAAACCCGGGTCGGGCCAAAAAATCAGTTATGTATTGTCAAGAAATTCTTAGTAGTTGCCAGGAATCAGGAAGTTGGCGGTGCCTCACGCCTGTGCCTCGAAAAACACGTAATTCCGTTGGTCATGCGCCTGATCTCTCTCCGGTCGTGTTCGTTTCCGGTTCCCAGGCGCGGTCGTAGCCTGAAATTTTGGAGGGGGACACTAATAATAAAATATGTCGAGTAAATTAGACTTACTTGCACTACATACTCAATTTTATTTGCACACATTATAAAACAAATGGAAGCCTTTTATTTTCGACTAGCTGTTCCCCGCGACTTCGCTCGTGTGTTAGGGTTTTTATGTTTTTGCGCGGAACCCTAATTCTTTTTCTGAAATAAAAGTAGCCTAAGTTACTCCTTATGAAATCAGATACCTGCCAGTGAAAGTCCCGTCAAAATTGGCCCAGTTATTTCGGAGATTAGCCGGAACAAACAGACAGACAGACAGACAGACAAAAATTTAAAAAATTGTGTTTTTGTTATAAGTACCGTATATACTTTCATATGCCATTAGTAAAAAGCTGTAGTTTTGACATTACAAACAGACACTTCAATTTTATTTATTTGTATAGATTTGCCAAATCGGGTGATAATATTTGAGATGTCTGGGCCTATTTCTGGGTGAATATTTAGAGAACCTAAACCTGTCAGCCTCTCTTATAACATGTTTGCTCTCAACCAAGTTTTTACACGCCTTAGCATAGAAAATGATCTCTCTGACGTCGCACCGCTTATAGGAAGCGATGCCAGAATTGAAAGTTAGGAAACTTTGTATCAGTATTTTCTTTGACCTCCCGTTTCCACGATGAAATCCATAGCTGTGTAACGATAGTGGCAGCAGGAACACTCAAGAAATGTGAATAACATTCTGTCAACGTCGAGAATTTAAAATAAGAATAATTAAACGCGATAGAATCTGTAACAGTAGTTTTATTCAATGTCTGCATAAAAATAAGAAATCATAACATTATGATAGTTTCTTCACATTAAGAAGATCTTTTTCTGTGTAGTCAGATTTTGGCATAAAAATATCTAATCCGAACAGATTCATCGTACCCGCAGAACGTCGGTTACTTAGGTCAGTCATTATGCTATCTATCAGTGCGATATAAACAATCCTCCGAAAATCATCCTCGTCATTTCCTCTTCTTCTTCTTAATAACTGGCTATAACGGCTCTGGGATCTAGCCCTTCTGAGCCTGAAGTTACAATATATTATAATAATTATCCTTCATAGTATACTGCTTCACAATATGTTGATGCGTCACATTGTGCAGCCCTTGGGAGATTTTGACGGCAACTTGAGCCAGCAAACAGCTGACGGTTGGCGATGGTATCTCAAGGCGTCTAAGTAGACAGACACCTTATTTTGAGAATTACATCACCATCAGAGCACTTGTTTCATACTTTCCACTAATAGTTCACATGCGCAGACACTTAATACACAAAATCGCACCACTTTTACATATCAAAGTCCACTTCAAACCATTATTTAAACAATAATACAGGAGCAGCAAACCGCCCCCGGTCAAGTTCCCGCCAAAACCTCCTCGTCATTTCGGTAATTTTTAGAAGATTTGCCGAAGGGTATGTATGTGGTCTATGGTACAAAAGACTTTTCGGAAGGATGGAAGTCGTCGAGTTTGCATGCGAGACGATTCGTAATGACTCTTGAAAACAGCATTTAGACGAGGCTCGGAAGGGAAATCGGTCGGTAGTTCTTAAACTTTACTCTTCGAGTATTGTCGCCTTTCTTGAAAAACAAGACCACCATACTTCTGCTTCACGAGTAGTGCCACATGGAGGACGGTATTAAAGAGCTTCTGAAGGACTTCAAGTACTGGTTTTCCAAACGCTTTCAGAAGCTCCACTGTAATTCGATCCTCACTTGGGGTTTTGTCTTGCAGAACTTTAGTCCGACCGCATGGACAATGTCTACGAACTTGTCATTCATATTGTCCACTGTATTGCAGTCTTCTAGGCACTAAAACGATTTTGTAACTCGAGAAAAAGTTTTCGAGGCTTTATATTTGAGCATAAGGGGGATGGAGCGTTGACTTCATTAGTCGTGACCTCTCCAACTTAACGTTTAGGTTCAGTGTGTCATCGGATGTGCCGAGGTTGTTGCGTAAGCCTACATGACCTGCAACTTGAATTCCGTTTTGTGATTCTAAGTATAAGGTACTCAACCCTCGTCGACAAACTCCCAATTTTTACAACTTTGTTAACGAGAGACTTGTGGACGATAAATACAGGGACAGATGGTCGCCTTCCCGGTGAAAAAGTTGCCAGATTAGAGGATTACGGAGTCTTCCACCTCTCTTCGGAACAAAGTTCTGGAGTGGCAGCCTCGTACCAGCGGGTGAAATGTGGGACGGCCCCCCACTAGAAAGAGTGACGACCTAGTAAGACATGCAGGAAGTTGATGGATGCAGGAGGCTTAGGACTCAGAATTGACGTATAGATTAAACTCAACCACAGCGCACCTATCGGATCCAGATTTTGTAATTTTCCTTTTTGGCAGTAAACCAACTTAAATTTTGAATATCATAAATATGGAATTTGTTGATAACTTGATTGAAATGCCATCTATCAGATCCTAGCGTAGAGCTATGAATCA